AAGGGGATCCCACCCCAGTGAGCCCCAAAGGAGGAGATCCCACCTTGCTGACCCCCCAAAAAAGGGGATCCCACCTTGCTGTCCCCCCAAAAAAGGGGATCCCACCCCACTGCCCCCTTCACCCCCGCGGCGCTGAGGAACGCACAAGGCCCAGGCCGAAGGGAGAGCCAGGGAGTCTTCAACAGTTTATTAGAAAGAATGCAGACATTAAAAAAATCCCAGCTGCTCTGAACATAAATTGAGGTTTTTCAGCCCGGTTCGCAGGCGCCCGCGCGCCCCACGGTCTGTCACTTGCTGCCAAACCCACAGTGCAAATACGATTTTGGTCTAAAATGTACAGATTGACAAGCAACAATGTACAGCCACTCGCAGCCCGGGCGAGGAGGTGGAAAGGTTTGGGGTCACACGGGACCAGGGGCAGGCCACCGGCACCGAACACCAAAAACGAGGAGAATTTTGAAGATTTTGAAGTTGGTTTTTTTTTTTAAAGTGGGAACAGAGCTGAAGACATCACGGAGGGATGCGCCTCGCCTGCTGGATTTTTTTTGGGGAGCCAATAAGAGTTTTTTGTTCCCGGTACAAATTAATTTCAGGCCGTGGAGAAGAGAGAGAGGGGAGGGAAAAAAAAATAATTTCTCGTTTAAACCACTCGGTGTTAATTCAGGGTTCTCCCATTGTAATTACATCTGCTACGAGGCAAGGAGGCTCTGTAAACTTTATTGCAAATGTTCTCAATGGATTGCCTACACCTCAATTGGGTTGGTTTGGTGGGTTTTTGTTTGTTTTTGGAAGTCTGGAAAACGGTTCATGCATAACTGTTATTGCCTCTCGTGGCTTTAAGACTGCCCCGTGCCATGGGACACACCTACCATCAGTGAAGCCATTTAAAATGGACTGAAAATGGGTTAAAGGATGCAGGATCTCCCTTTAGGGCTATCAACTCAGGAATTCTTATCTCAATTATGAAATGTTGTGATGAACTTCTTTCCCCCAAAACCCTGAAGACGACAGTTTGCCTTACTCCAGATCCGGCATTTCTAGAGGGGAAAAAAAGAGAAATTAGTGGTTTTAGGGTTGCTTTGTGGGTTTTATTTTTTTGCTTGGTTTGTTTTTAAAAGCTCTCAGGGCACTGTTATGTCACAAGGGACACGAGCAAGACGAGCTGGCCTCCAACCAAGGAGGTCATGGGGCAGTCTGGGGCCTCTGCCCTCCCCCCGGCTCTTCCCAAGGGAAAACTGTGCCAGAGGCACCTGAGCACGTGCTGCTCCTGAAGCCAAAGCCTCCCTGGGACTGCAGCTGCCTGGGAAGGTCAAACTGGTACTTGGGGCTTGTGTGGAGAGGCTTTCCCAGATTAGATTTGTCTCCCAGGGCTGGCTTTAGCTGGTGGACAGGATGAACATCTGCTGGCTCGGAGCCTTCAGCAGGTGTGTGAGGGGAAAACAACAAAGAGAACAACTTACTTTCATCATCACTGTCTGGTGAGTCCTGGAAAGGAGAACAAACAACCTTTAAGTGGAGCAGGCAGCTCCTCTGCCACCCTCCCCCCAACCAGCAAAGAGCTGCTGCTCCCAAATCTGGATTTTGAGGAGCTCAG